GCTGGGAGGCCTCGCAGCTCCGCTGATCCCGGTGCTGGGAGGCATATTACCCTTTTACTATATAGGATAGAGGCCTGGTGCACGTGTGGGGGCTGGCTGGTTTTCCCTGAAGGGTGTCCTGGATCAGGGTGGGGGTCCCCACTGGGGTGCCTGGCCAGCCTGCTTGAGGGGATGATGGCTGTTTGCAGCTGGTCACACCCCGTTCAGGGTGGGGGTCCCCACTGGGGTGCCTGGCCAGTCTGGGTGAGGGGCTGAGGGCTGTTTTCAGGCCGACTGAAGCTTCCAACTGCTCCTTTTTTTCTTTTCTTTTTTTATTCTGGGCCAGCTTTAGCTCTGTGGCTTGGCTCCAGCTCTGTGGCCTCAGCTGCTGAAAGTAGGTATCTGGTTTGTTTCGGTTCTATAATAGAAACTCTGTATCAATTCCAGCTCTGAGATCCCGGGCTGGCCTAAAGCAGGTTTCTGGGTTTTTTTTTAGCTTCTATATTTGTTACAATGTGTCTTAAACTGCAGGCTCAGAGGCCGGCAAGGCAGGCGGGGAACATTGGAGTCCTCCGTCACTGAAGCAAGCAAGTCTCATGTTAGTTTCAAGCTGCCTGTCTGCTGGCTGCCATCTTGGCTGGCAGTTAATTTGCATATCTCGCTGATTAGCCAATGGGAAAGGTAGCGGTCGTACGCCAATTACCATGTTTCTCTTTTATTAAATAGGATGAACAATCTGTAAGTGCTGGTGAGATTATAGAGAAAAATGAACTCTGGTGCACTGTGGAAAACAGCATGGATTTTCCTCATAAAATTAAAAATTATACTCCCATTTGACCCAGTAATCCCACTTCTAGGAGTATATCCCAAGAAATCAGATACACCAATCAGAAAGGATATATGCACCCCTATGTTCATAGCAGCACAATTTACAATAGATAAGATTTGGAAACTGCCTAAGTGCCCATCAGCAGATGAGTGGATTAAAAACCAGTGATACACATACAGAATGGAATACTCTGCTGCTATAAAAAAAGAAAGAACTCTTACCATTCTCAACAGCATGGATGGACCTGGAGAACATTATGCTAAGTGAAATCAGCCAGTCAGAGAAAGATAAATATCACATGATTGCAATCATTTGTGGAATATAATGAACAACATAAACTAACTAACAAAAATAGATTCAGAGACATAGAAGCATTGAAAAGACTATCAAACCTCAGAGGAATGGCAGGGGAGGGTTGGGGAGGCATGGTAAGAGATCAACCAAAGGACTTGTATGCATGCATATAATCATAACCAATGGACATAGACTGTAGAGGGATGAGGGCATGTGCTGGGAGGTGGGGGTGGCTGGGGAAAGGTCAATAGGTGGAAAAGGAGACATATGTAATACTTTAAACAATAAATAATTTAAATTTTTAAAAAAGAATATACTGAAAAACTAAAAGTGACTTTTACACATTAAAGGGATGAATTTTGTGATAAGCAAATTAGATTTCAAAATAAGCTGATAATAATAATAACACTTATTTAAGAGAATTTGTAAAGCTGACTTAAACTTGACGGATTTATCTATTTTTAGGTCTATTTTACTTAGATTGCCTGGTGACATTTGTGTGGTTGAGTGCAAAGGAAATGATAAAGGGGGAAAAAAGGCCAAATGAATGACAACATAAATTTTAGCAAATAATTAGGGAGAAACATTTTAATGCATAGAAGCCATGCAAAATGTAATGATTTTTCCATAGACAATTTGTAAACGGAGCACAAACTATTTTATTATGTCAGTCCTTTAAAATGAAACATATTCATTCAAAAGTTTAATTTATTTTCTAATTTAAAAAATATATTTTTATTATAATGGTATAACAGAATAAAGGGACATATAAAACCTTTTCAGACACCCACTGAGGTCCCCAATGACTTTATTTATTTCTGAATAATTTTCATACCTGCCTCAATTTTATTGTCACTTCCAACTATGTAGACAACCAGTACAGAAAAAAACAAACAAAACAAAACAAAACACAAGAACTTGTGATAAATATATGACAAAATTTTACTTTTGAAGAACTAGTACTAATTGTTCTCTACAGATATTTTCAAAAAGCTGCATGCTATATGCAGTTTGTTTTAGTTGATAAACACACAGGAATAATTAAAATGTAAGATTATTGGGAGGTTTCAAATACTATGGTTTGTCTTTATTCTATGTGAAGTTCTTTTGTTGTTGTTGTTAAGTCAAGAACCTTACGGTATGGTGGAAAAGAACACCCTTTGGTATCAGATAGTCATGGGTTCAAATCTTAGGGCTGTCCCTCATAAGCTATGTCAGTTTGGAAATAACTGATTAATATTTCTGAAAATTAGTCTCTATAAAACTTAGAGACTAATACTTCACAATAATGCCATAGTAACCAAGATTTATTAACTATCCACTCTGTTTCTGATTCTGCATTGGGTTCCTTACATATATATTCAGTGTGGCATTCAAAATATTTATTAGTTGGGAATGGACATAAGAAAAGCCCAAACCTATAGAGAATTTTTATGAGTGTATTTGAGCCAAATTGATGACAATTGCCAGGAAGCAAAATCTCAATGGATTGAGAAAATGCTTCAGAGAATGGCAATTTTGCAGCTTATTTTATACATTACAATCAAAGGATGAGACATAAGGGGTGTTGCATGAAATCCATTGGTGGTACATTAAGAAAGTGGGAGAAAGCAAAGTGGGGAAATCTCTGAGATTGGATAAAGAGTAAAATAGAGAGACACATACTTCTTTTACACTGGTGGATATAGGACAGTTAACATTTATAGCACATAAAGGTGGTATTTTGGGAACAAGATAACAATAAGAGATTCTATGGTCTTGTGCTCTGGTGTGGTAAGCATACCCTGAGGAGTCCAGGAAAAGGGAATTATGTGGGGAAGCACAAGACTTGGTTGAAAAGCTTGTAAGGAGGCTATTCTGAGAAAAGGGAAGTGTGTGGAAGGCCGCCTGCCCTGTTTATCGGAATTCCGACTTAGGGGTGACTTAGGGCATTGTCTAAGGCAGCACCCCTATTATTCCTTGACCTTTCCAAACAAGTCTGTGCATGTACAGACCCCTGGGTGTTTACTGGAATCCTTTTGCTTAATCTTTTGGGTGTCCTTGCTTAAAGGACATTACAAACACATGTGTCCTCCCAATATTACTTACCCTACTGATTGTATCTAAAAGATAAAGTTTATCTCAAACATCTCAAAGTGCTGTGACAATAAAAGCCTAATGAGGCAGGCAATCAGGGTTGTCTGGATCCATTAGCCAGGCCATCCCTTAGCCTCTCTTTCGCAGCAAATGTGTCAGAGTAATCCATTCATCCGTCACTCAGGGTCTGCTGGCCAGCCCTGGCAGAATTACACTGATATTCCAATGGTATGTTATGTTAGATACAAAAAGATAATAGATAGGCTCACTTAAGGTAAAGATTGGCCTTTGAATTGGCCTAGGAAGTGATTGACTATCCACCATGACTCACTTTTAGTTAGGAAATTTATGTTCAGGCAATCCTATGTGGTTACTTTCGAGTTCTGAGTTTCCAGGGTCCACTATTTGGGCCTCCCCTGAGTTTTTCAGGTATAGTATGTAGTCACTTTTTCATGCACAGGCAAAAATTCATTAAGATTGAGGCTGTCTGTAGTGTTTTTGTAAGGGCATAGAGGCTGTCTTCCCTGACAGACATTATTCTATTTGATGCTGAATTATGAGCAGGTAGAGGGTAGAGGTGTAAGGATACATTCATGAAAGGATCAGAGTGCCTAAAGCAGTTTTTCACCAACTGTTATGTACTATATTATTTAATCCTCACACACACACACACAAAAAAAAAAAATCAAAAACTAAAGAAGGGTGCTATTATAAGCATTTCGTATATAGAAAAACTAAAATTCAGAGAGAGAATCCTTTACATACCCAGTAAAATGTACAAGCCAAAATTTTAATCTACTTGGGATATATTAGTAGTTGAATAAATTTTCTGTTTTCAAAATAGTACAACATTCAGCTTACTCTTTCAACTGTTATTCTGTGATTTTCTAATTATAGCTGTCAGGTGAGGCCTTTGAGTCAATATATTAAAGTAAGTTATAACAAACTGTATACAAATGACTAGATTCAAATATTGGTTCACTACTACTATTTGTGTAATTTTGGAACAGTTACTGAGGCTTTCTGATCCTCTATTTTTCCATCAGTAAAATATAGATAATTAACATATCTACCACATATAATTGTTAGACATAAATAAAATATATTCAAAGTACTTAGCTAGTGCTTGCCATTTAACCACAGTTTAATAACTGTAATTAACAATGTTATTATTAAATAGTCCATGTCTCTCTGTACTTGGAATATTGTCTTTTTAAAAAATACGTTTTATTGATTTCAAAGAGTAAGGGAGAGGGAGAGAGAAATAGAAACATCAATGATGAGAGAGAATCATTGATCCACTGCCTCCTGCACACCCCACACTATGGGATTGAGCCCTCAACCTGAGCATGTGCCATGACCAGGAATCGAACCATGACCTCCTGGTTCATAGGTTGATGCTCAACCACTGAGCCATGCTGGCTGAGCAGAAATCTTTACTGCATAACCAAATAGGACTTTAAAACTTATTAAAGTTTAAGCTTGACCTCATTATAATGGCTGATGACTAAATGGGGCTGTGTAAACCCATATGATCTAAGCTATGATCTAACCTATTTGAGGTAAAGGACCATGTTTCATTTATGAAAGTAAAAACATAGGGCATGGCATAACATTTCAGAGACTAAAACAACAATAACAATGACTGAATGAAAGAACAACAAAGTAATAAAACCCAGTTGTTTGAATATGCCGCTTGCAATCAGATAGCTTTGAAGGTCTGTGAAGGTTCTTGAAAGGAAAATTTAAAAATTTTGTGAGTAGCTCTCAAACTTTGTAAACTATCATTCAAAACTAATCAAAACACTTTTGCTTGGTTAGCATGGGGCATCGCACTCTGTCCTCCGTCCCGGCTCTCTGGGCCTCCATCCCATGTCCACACTCCAAGTGCGCCTGGACTTGGTTCTAGCTTCTGGACAATCCTTCGGGTGGAAGGAGCAAAACCCTGAGCACTGGAGTGGCATGCTGGCAGACCAGGTATGGACACTGACCCAGACCGAGGAGCAGCTCTACTGCACTGTGTACCGAGGGGAAAGGGGCCAGGCTGGCAGGCCCACACCAGAAGAGCTAAAGGTCCTGTGCCAGTACTTCCAGCTGGATGTCAGCCTGGCTCAATTGTATCGCCATTGGAGTTCCAAGGACCCCCACTTCCAAAAAGTAGCTCAGAAATTCCAAGGTGTTCAACTCCTACAACAGGATCCCATCGAGTGCCTTTTCTCCTTCATCTGTTCTTCCAACAACAACATTGCTCGCATCACTGGCATGGTAGAGCGGCTCTGCCAAGCCTTCGGACCTCGGCTCATCCAGCTCGATGTTGTCACCTACCATGGCTTCCCCAGCCTGCAGGCCCTGGCTGGGCCAGAGGTGGAGGCTAAGCTCAGGAAGCTGGGCCTTGGGTACCGTGCCCGCTATGTGAATGCCAGTGCCTGAGCCATCCTTGAAGAACAGGGGGGGTTGCCCTGGCTGCAGCAGCTGCGCAAGGCCTCCTACGAAGAGGCCCACAAGGCCCTCTGCACCCTGCCTGGAGTGGGCACCAAGGTGGCCGACTGCATCTGCTTGATGGCCCTAGACAAGCCCCAGGCCGTGCCCGTGGATGTCCATGTGTGGCAGATTGCCCAACATGACTACAGTTGGCACCCCACAACAACCCAAGGCAAGGGTCCAAGCCCCCAGGCCAACAAGGAACTAGGAAACTTTTTCCAGAACTTGTGGGGACCTTATGCTGGCTGGGCCCAAGCAGTGCTGTTCAGTGCTGACCTACGCCAGCCCCACCAAGAGCCACCAGCAAAGCATAGAAAGAGATCCACAGGGCCTGAAGTCTAGGTGGGGGGCACAGGACAAAGGGATTCTCCCAATACCTTTTCCCTCCATTCCCCATACTCTCCTCTATCCAGACTCATGTGGGGAGGGCGGCTCCATGCAACTACCTCAGGGGCCAGACACCCTCAAACCAAGCAGTTTGCATAACAGTGTGGGGTGGGGGCGTTATCTGGGGAGACAAAGCTACCTTTGGTTTTATCCTCTTCCCTTTATTACAAGAAGGAACAATAAAATAGAAACATTTGTATGGGGAAAAAAAAAACCTAATCAAAACAAAAAAAATCAAAGAATTAGTCACAGGTGCTTAAAAGGAATTATCTTCTTTGCTGTCATCATTGTGGCTTACCTTCTGCTTATATTTATTAAAAAAAACCTCATTCACTTTTAAAACTAAAATTCAGGAATTTTAAATGTTATGAAATCAAATGAAAATCTATGTTTGAAAATACATCATTTCTATCTGCTACATTCTTATTTATAAATATGCAGCTTCTGGAATGAGAATACTCTATGAGGCAGTATGATATATATTGCTCCTTTAGGAAAAACACACACAACAACAACACACTCTATAGGATCTAAATAAAAAGCAAGAGTTAGATTTCCCTTTGCATAAAAATTATTTTATGCCCTAACCCAGGGGTGGGCAAACTTTTTGACTCGAGGGCCACAATGGGTTCTTAAACTGGACTGGAAGGCCGGAACAAAAGCATGGATGGAGTGTTTGTGTGAACTAATATAAATTCAAAGTAAACATCATTACATAAAAGGGTACGGTCTTTTTTTTTCAATAGTTTTATTCATTTCAAACGGGCCGGATCCGGCCCGCGGACCATAGTTTGCCCACGGCTGCTAACCGGTGTGGCTCAGTGGATAGAGCATTGGCCTGCGGATGCAAGGGTCCCAGGTTCAATTCCGGTCAAGGGCATGTACCTTGGTTGTGGGCACATACCCAGTGGGGTGTGTGCAGGAGGCAGCTGATCCATGTTTCTCTCTCATCGATGTTTCTAACTCTCTATCCCTCTCCCTTCCTCTCTGTAAAAAATCAATAAAATATATTAAAAAATATTTTATATTTATAACAGATGAAACTTAGATGTAGGGAGAAAATAAATAAATTATATATGTATCTCTGTATAAATAAATAGATTGTATATACTTAATATGTATTAATATTGACATATATATTCTCTATACGTATAATAAACATTTGATAGTTTTAAAATAATGAGAGCAGTGATAGTGACTCTAAAGCCTATTAAAAACAATTGATTATGATTTCTTAATATTTAAGTGTTTTTTATGAATCTCTGCGTTCTTTTTTTTTAAATATATTTTATTGATTTTTAACAGAGAGGAAGGGAGAGAGATAGAGACTTAGAAACATCGATGAGCGAGAAACATCGATCAGCTGCCTCCTGCACATCTCCCACTGGGGATACGCCCGCAACCCAGGTACATGCCCCTGACCGGAATCGAACCTGGGACCCCTCAGTCCACAGGCCAACGCTCTATCCACTGAGCCAAACTGGTTTTGGCGAATCTCTGCTTTGTAATATTTTATATTTTTTCTCCTATGATGTCATTACAATGCTTTTTAAAATTGCCCTCCTGTAGATGGAGAACCACATGTTTGCCTTAGGTCATTATTCTTGTTCATATATTTTAAATTGGAAAAGTGATTTTTAATTTAGATTGCTTAAATTTGTATTATTTAATTTTCATAGCTTCATTGAAATTATGCTTTACTTAAAAACTATACCCTTGGTCTTATTTTTTTTGGAGATTAAATCACTAACTCTGATTTATCTGTCTTGATAAACATTAGCATAGGCTAGCTTCACATACTATTTTCTAAACCAAAATTAATTTTAGGTACCTTAATATCTTGGCTTAAAAAAAAGAGAAAATGGAACATTAAAAATACAACTCATTTATACTTATAGTATGAAAACGAAAGGCACATTCTTTTACTATCTAAACAAAATAAAAAATCTCAAACCATATTATTTAAGAATAGATAAATAGGTGGTAAAACTATAAGTAAGAGAAAAAAAAATCATTCCCCAAACCAAGGTACTAGTTATTGGGAGATGGGGTTGTGATTGGTGAGAGGCACAAGAATGGCTTGTGAGGTGCTCGTATCATTCTATTTATTCAACTGTGTGGTAACTACATAGGTGTTCATTTTGAAATTAATTACAAAGATTTATATATATCTTTGGCCCGGTGCACAAAAATTGTGCACGGGAGGGGGTCCCTCAGCCTGGCCTGCACCCTCTCTAATCGGGGACTTCTTGGGGGATGTCCAACTGCCAGATTAAGCCCGATCCCACAAGGACATCTCTTTCGCAATCCGGGATCCCTGGCTCCTAACAGCTCGCCTGCCTGTCTGCCTGATCACCCCTAACCGCCTCTGCCTACAGGCCTGATGCCCTTAACTGCCCTGCCCTGCTGGCCTGATTGCCCCCTAACTGCTCCCCTGCCAACCTAATCACTCCTAACTGCTCTCCCCTGAAGCCTGATCACCCCTAACTGTCTCTGCCTCAGCTCCCACCACCGTAGCTTTGTCCGGAAGGACATCCAGAAGATGTCTGGTCTAATTAGCATATTACCCTTTTATTAGTGTATATATACATATATATAATTATTTAAGAGATAACAAATGAATAACATTTTCAGTATGAGCTCTGTGTTTTATAATTCTTAAATGAAGCAAGATCATACTACCAGTCAGTAATCTAAGACTAATGTGACTCCAATCACTTTATAAAAGTGCATATTTAGTATAATAATTATGCTTTACTTAAAAACTATACTTTTTGTTGGGATTAAGAGAATGTGGGATAGGAAGAAAAATGTGTTCCCTGCATTAATTTTAAATATTCTCATTATAGAAAAATTTAAACATATGCCTAAAGAGACAAAATAGGCTACTAGAACTCTATATACCTATCAGTTTCAAAAATTCTCTGAGGGAAAGTAGGGGAGGGTGTGGATAAGGGGAAGAGATCAACCAAAGGACTTGTATGCATGCATATAAGCCTAACCAATGGACACAGACAACAGGGGGGTGAGGGCATGAATGGGGGAGGGGCAATGGGGGAATAAGGACACATATGTAATACCTTAATCAATAAAAAAATTTTTTCAAGCCATGACTAATCTTTTATTCACACACCATCCACATTACTTCTTCCCATATTATTTCAAAGCAAATCCCAAATACTGTAAATGTTTTGGTTCATACTTTTTAAAGATGAGGACTCTTCTTTATACTAAATAGTATTTTTCACCTTAAAAATAACATTAGCAATTCACTCATATTATCAAATACATAGTCAGCAGAAAATTTCCATTTGCTTCATAAATACGATAATTTTTACTACTTATTAATTTGGTTTAATCTATTTCCAAAATATATTCCATACATTGCAGTTGGTTGATATGGATTTTAATTCCATTTTAAACATTAAGTTTTCCTTTTTGCAGTATATTTATAGAGACCAAGTTATTTGTCTAAAAGCACATTTTTAAAAATTAGCTTTATTGAAGTATAATTGACTTACAAAAAATAATGAATTTCAGCTATGTAATTCAAATAATTTTGACAAACATGAAGTCATATAATCACCAAAACAATAATGATATATAGGACACTTTCATAACCCTTAAAAGTTCCCTTGTACTCCTTTGTCATCATTCCCCTCCTCCTTAATGCTAACCCCTGGCATCCACTTTTCATCACTATGGTTCTGTCTTTTCTAAGATTTCATATAAGTATATTTTTATAGTATTGTGTCTAGCTTGATCAAGTTTGCATAATGCTTTTGAGGTTCATCCATTTATTGTATGCTTCAATAGTAATTATTTTTCATTTTTGAGAAGTACTTCATTGTATAGATATGCCCCTCCCCCAAAAGGTCCATTTTTAACAATATAACTGAGCAAAGTAATATTTTGCCTATATGTATATATATGTATATATATGTATATATATATGTATATATATGTATATATATGTATATATATTCATATTTAAAGATCACAGTAACTGCTAAGTTGAAAGAAATAAATGTCATTACCTGCTTCATAGAATTGTATTGATATTTCTAGTTTTCAGGAAAAAGACTTTGCAGTTCTTCTGTATATGGCTTTCTAATTACAGCCATAACTAGGGCACACAGAAGTAATGTTTCAAAAACCCATTGAGGTACAACGTTAGGATATTCTTTACGATTGTGAAAATAAGAATATTGTAATCAACTGGATAAGTCCTCCTAAGTAAAAAATATTGGAGCAAGTAAATTGTAAAAAGAAATTCAAAAGCAGGACCACCAGGTTCTGCTCCAAATAGTTTAACTTACAGACCAGATTTCATTCTATAAGTACGGACAAATACAACGTTCTGAATACAAGAAACTGACTTTTTGAGCACTCACTGATGCCTCCTTATAAAATGTAGTTTAAAATATTGTAATAGAAAAGATTAATCTATGAAAAAATTCTTCATATGTTAAAGTTAAATATATACAGATGATCATATTTATAATACTGAATCAAACATATATTTTCCTCTATATTCCTTATAAAACTAAACTGTACATTTCCAACAGATGTTTATGTTTTATATATAAACTAGAGGCCTGGTGCACAAAAATTTGTGCACTCGGGGGGGGGGGGGGTCCCTCAGCCCAGCCTGTGCCCTCTCGCAGTCTGGGAACCCTCGGGAGATAACGACCTGCTGGCTTAGGCCTGCTCCCAGGTGGCAGAGGGCAGGCCCATTCCCTAGGTGCAGCCCCTAGTCGGGCTCAGAGCAGGGCCGATTGGGGAGTTGGGGCGCCTTCCCCTATCATGCACAGAGCAGGGCGGATCAGGAGGTTGCGATACCACCCAGAGTCACGCTCAGGGTAGGGCCGATTGGGGGGTTGGGACACTTCCCCCCTGTCATACTCAAGGCAGGGTCGATGGACAGGTTGCGGCGCCACCCCCTGTCATGCACA